TAAATTATCTCCTAAAAATGTTTCTGCCACCTCCCCCCCAGTTCCCCTGACACACTGAGCTCTACAGAGAGCTAGGGTGCCGTACACGATCCAAATCACCCATTAGAGCCTGGTGTGGAGATGCACGCCTTTAACCCAGTACTCAGGAGGCAGAGGCAGGTGGATCTCTGCATTTGAGGCCAGCCTGGTCTACAGAGCAAGTTCCAGAGCAGCCAGGGCTACACAGATAGACCCTGTCTCAAAACCGAAGCACACTGACATCCTAGTGGAGGCTGGTGTGGAAGCACTGCCTTTGATCCCAGCCCCTGGGAGGTGGAGGTGGGAGGACCCTTCTTCTAAAAAGCTGAGGCACTATTCCAGGCAGACGAGATGACTCTCACACTGTAATCTCAGGACCAGGGAGGCAGGGAAGACATCACTGCATGTTCAAGGCTGGCAGAAGGGTGAGATCCTACCTTAAAAGTCAAAAGAAATTTTTTTTGATTTTTCGAGACAGGATTTCTCATTATGGCTGTCCTGGAACCCACTCTGTAGACACTGAACTCAGAGATCCACCTGCCTCTGCCTCCGAGTGCTGGGATTAAGGTTAACCAGCAACCCATTTGTCTCTGCTGAGGACCAAGAGGCACATAAGAATCCTATGTTACTCAGTACAGTCTTCAGGGCTTCAAGCCCACAGTGCTCTCATCCTTGTGCCCTCCTCTAATGCCTGGCCATGGGAAGTACAAGTTTGCTGATGGAATCAGAAGTGACATTGGAAAGTTTCTACAGCCCAACAGTTAAAGCAGCACAGGTGGTAAAGGGAACGCCCATCTAACACTGACACATTAACTGTGCACAGTTTGACCTTTCTCCCTGTTTGTCCCCTTTCTGTCACGTGTGCTTTGGCTTGCTACTTCTCTCTTCTGCGTCGTCATGACTTCAGTCCTCACACCAGTTCTCCCTTTGACAACTTCCCAAGTATTACAATTCAGGCAACCAGGCCTCCAAAGGGTGGAGCAGATTGGGAGGTAGGGACAGGAGGGTGTGCATACATGTGATATGTGTACATCTGATATGTATGCATGTGGTATGTATACATATGGTATGCATACATGTGATATGTATACATGGGGCATGCATACATGTGGTATGTATACATGTGATGTGTATGCATGTGGCATGCACACATGTAGTATGTATACACGTGATATATACATACGGTATGCATACATGTGATGTGTATACATGTAGTATGCATACATGTGATATGTATACATGTGGTATGTATACATGTGGCATGCATACATGTGATATGTATACATGTGGTATGCATACATGTGGTATGTGTACATGTGGTATATATACATGTGGTATGTATACATCTGATATGCACACCAATGTGCACTGCTTGGAGGCCAGAGGTCAACACTGGGTATCTTCCTCTATTACTCTGTCTTACCCTGGCTGGCTTGTAGCAACTTAATTTGTAAACCAGGCTGTCTGAAACTTACAGGGATTTGCCTGCCTCTGCCTCTGGAGTGCTGAGATCAAAGGTGTGTGTCAGTATGTCCTGCCTTTCTACCACGTTTTCTGAGATAGAGCCTCTCACTGAACTGAAGCTCACAGAGTCAGCTAGGTTAGCTAGCCAGAGAGCTCTGGAATCCATCGCCTGTCTTTGCTCACTCGACAATGGGGTTAGGGTCACACAGCCCAGCCTTTAAGCAGAAGTGGGGATGTGAACTCAGTTCCCATGCTTGTGTGGCAGACATTTTCTGCCTGAACAACTTCCCTCGTCCCTATTTATATTGTTTAAAACCCACAAAACTTAGGGCTGGAGAAATGGCTCTGCAGTTAAGAACGCTGCTCTTCCTGACTTCAGTGCCCAGTATACACATGGGGTGGTTCTCAACTGACTTAACTCAATCTCCATGGGATCCAATGTCCTCTTCTGGCCTTCACAGATACACACAAATATAAATAAAAATGAATCTTTAAAACTTAAAGACGAAAATATAGGCCTAAATTTGTATGTTTTTTTTAGAGTAGTACCTATTTCCCTAAATCATGGTTAACACCTGACTTGTCATTTACTCAACAATTAATGCCTACCATGGATAACCGCCAGCTGGACCTGCCTGTGCGGTAGCCTAGCAAGGTACCACCACGAAGTACAGAGTCAGGGATCTCAGTCATGGAATAGTACTTTCTGACAGATTGCAACTGACCTAACCTTCTGCCAAGCACAGCAGCCCCGTTGCTACAGGATGCCATCTTCTTCATAGATCTGTGCCTTCACTCCCATGGGTCTGTCTATCAGATGCCTTTGACTCAGTATGTACTTACCCAATGCTCTCCTACTCCTGGCCTCTATTCATTCAGAGGCTCAGGGAAAAACAGCCATTTTAGTGGGAAGCCTTGTATGCATCTCTGGTATCTGTTACTTCTTTCTATGCAGCCCTGGCTGGTCCAGAACTCACTATGTAGACCAGGCTGGCCCTGAAGTCATAGAGACCCACCTAGCATTTGTCTCTCCAGTGCTGGGATTAAAAGTGTATACCTCCATGCCTGATTTTTCTTTTATAACTCTTCTATATTTTACTTATTTGGTTTTTAGAGAAGGGTTTCACCCTGTAATCAAGGCTGCTTTGGAGTTTACTATGTTTACTTCCAGCCCCATCCTTCTGAGATGCTGGGATTATAGGCAAGAGGTACCTTTTGAAGGCATTTACCACTTAGAACATGGTTTCCAGACCCCACATCATGCAGCTGTTCAATCTCTTACCTAACACAGCATGCTGTTTGCATACAGCCTCCCATATACTCTAGGTTACAATAACCAACACAATGTAAATTCTATGTAAATAGTTTGGTTGTTCTGGTAGGAAATTAAAGACAAGGAAAAAGTCTCAGTCATGTCTGTAATCCCAGCACTTGGAAGTCTGAGATAAGAGAACTGCCATGAGTTTGGGGCTACTCAGGCTACATAGAGAGGGCTTGTATAAAAAACAAAGCAAAAAGTGTCTTTCTTCAGGAGACTTTTAGTTTCCTTTTTGATATTAACTTCATTTTCTTGGATTTTTTCTTTTTTTTTGAGATAGGGTCATACTTATGGAGTCCTTGCTACCCTGGAACTCACTCATTATTTAGGCCATGTTGACCTTCAACCCACAGGCACAGACCTGCCTCTGCCTTCCAAGTGCTGGGACTTAAAGGCATACACCACACCTGACACATAGTCAATGTGCGTATGTGTGGCTGAGTGTATGTATGTGTGCTGTGTGCTTTCAGGAGCCCTTAAAGGACAGAAGGGTGGAGTGGAACTCCTAGAACTGGAGTTACAGGTGCTAATAATCCACCACGTGGGTGCTGGGGACCGAGTCTGGGTCCTCTTAACCATGAGCTGCCAATCCAGCCACCATTTGTTATTTCGGTATTTTAATCCATACTAGTTGCTAAGTCCAGGTAACTCCTTAGGGACACTTAATTCATCTTTACGTGTACCCAAGAATGACCCTGGACTTCAGAACGGAGCCAGAACACAGCCAGGCTCCTTAGTCTGGAAATAGCCCAATCCTGGTCTCAAACTTTGGTGTACTTTGACACTCAGTTGGCTCATAAGTTGTAATTGAAACTTGAATTGACTTTCAAATTTATTTATATAATGATTAGATTTCAAAGCAAAAGTCTGGCTACACAAGCCTTCATTTTCACAAGGGATTTGGTGGGGGCTGCTTCTCATTCTCTCTCATTCCCGTCCCCTCTCCCCACTTTGGTTTTTTGGTTTTTTTTTGGTTTTTCCAGACAGGGTTTCTCTTTGTAGCCCTGGCTGTCTGTCCTGGAACTCACTCTGTAGACCAGGCTGACCTCAAACTCAGAAACCCACCTGCCTCTGCCTCCCAAGTGCTGGGATTAAAGGCATGTGCCACTACCGCCTGGCCCCCACTTTGGTTTTTTAAGACGGGTTTTCTCTGTGTAGCCTTGACTGTCCTAGAAGCTGCTCTGTAGACCAGGTTGGCCTCAAACTCACAGAAATCTGTCTGCCTCTGCCTCCCAAGTGCTGGGATTAAAGGCATGAGCCATCACCATCCTTTCCCTGTATTTAAAAAAAATAAAAATAAAGCTGATTTGCCTCAAACTCATGAACCTCCTGCCTTGACCTTTTGGGATTGGGCTTCTAAACCTGCACTCTTGTCGTTCTTTCTTTCAAAGTAAAATTAAAAGCTAAATTTATAGTAGGCTGCTTCACCTGAACCCTAAAAGCAATGGTGCTCTCACCAGCTTTTAGCCCTTTTAGTCAAATGAGTCAGAGAACTACCAATAATCCTGACACACGCCCCTGCAGAGTGAAGCACACCACCTTGGATAAGGGAGGTGTTTGAAAAACGGCTGTATCTGGAACTCAAGAATCATTTACAAAATCAATCAACGAAAAGACCCAACCAACCAACCAACCAACCAACCAACCAACCAACCAACCAACGAGCACATTACTGCTTTGTTAAGAGGAGGCTAATGGAGGAAAGTACCAAGGTGTTTGGATTCACTCCTCAACAAGCTCTGCGCTTTGAGATAGATGCTCTCAATAAACAAACGAGTAACACGGAAAACCAACAAGATGCAGTTACTGCGAATTCCCAGAAAAGCTTGTGAATGAAGGAGTGGGAGCAAGCGCGGCGGGTAGCACAAGGCCACGCCGGTGAGGTTTCCCTCGCTTTTCAGCAGGCATGGGCAACGTGGCTCCTCCATGCACGCCCACCTCCTCCAGGCAGCCCTCCTCCCCACCCTCCTGCCCCGCCCTTACAGGATATCCTCGCGGAAAGAGGTGCCGTTGTTGAGGTTATGGAAACGGACGGAGACGCAGTCCCTGACAATGAAGGAGCACCTGGTCTCCTTTTTGTAGGCGCTGAAACACTCCTTGAAGTCCTCGTAGGTCTTAAAGCAGCTGCCTAGCTCCATGGCCGGGGACCGGCCCTCCCAGAGCCCAGAATCACGCCAGGGGTCAGAGGTCACTGGGTAACGGCTGGCACCGGCCCAGGTGCGGCCCAGACTGAGTGGCTTATTGGGAGCTTGGGAGGAGCCCAGAAGAGACCGGTAACAGCAACCTGGGAGCGACTTTGCTCAGTGACAGAAGGGAAATGACACTCATCCCTTATTATTCATCTCCAAGGCTCCGCCCCCTCGCTGATTCACCCAATCACACGCGGAGCTCCAAAACAGGCACAAATATTCTCCAATCTTATAATAGAGGTAGCCGCGCCCACTCGGAAATTGACAAGCACATCGACCAATCACAATCTGCGTCTCGCTCACCGAAGCCCTTGGGATTTCCGGCCCCTGGAGCGACCTGCCGGAAGCGCTGGGAGCCTATATAAGTTTCCGCGTTTCTCTCATCCGCAGCGAGCAGTGAAAATGTCAGCGCCAGAGGATCTCGGAGATGCTCATGGCGACGCCGACCGCGGCGACCTTTCCGGAGACCTCCGTAGTGTATTGGTCACCAGCGTGCTCAACCTCGAGCCACTAGATGAAGATCTCTACAGGTAGCCGGCGGCCTCTCTGAACTAGGCTCGCACCCCTCTTTAGAGTCGCGATTACTCCCATCTCCCCGTGAACCACAATTCTGGGGTTAAGAGTTCAGTGCCGGGTGCAAGCTCTGCTGCAGTTAGAAGGCGTTTCCCTGACATCCATGCTCTTCAGGAGGCGATCTGGGAAGAAAAAAAAGTGTGTGTGTGTGTGTGTGTGTGTGTGTGTGAGAGAGAGAGAGAGAGAGACAGAGACAGAGACAGAGACAGAGACAGAGACAGACAGACACTCAGTTACACTACAAGGCAGCTTAATCTGGTAGACTGAGTCAACAAAGTGAGGGCAGTAATTCCCCTGAGAGTAACAGCTGATCGGCCTTAATACACAACTCTAATAAACTCCCCGGTGTGTGTGTGTGTGTGTGTGTGTTCAAGCCAACCCTGTACCATTAATTTTGGTCTGGTAAGTCATTACTTAACTTGGGGTGTGTTTTCTTCCAGGCATTACCGAAGTTGGTGATTGCAGCCTGGGTTTGTAACAGTTTTTTTGTTTTGCTTAGAGACAGGGTGTCTCTATATATAGTCCTGGCTGACCTGGAATTCACTGTGTGTGTGTGTGTGTGTGTGTGTGTATACAATATATATATATACACACACACACACCAGGTTCCAGGTTGCCTTGGAACCCACTGGGATCCACCTGCATTTGCCTCCTAAGTGCTGGCAGGAGTTCACCACCAATTCTGTCTGGTTGTTTTGTTTTGAGACAGGCTCTCTGTATAGCCCTCCCTGGCTGACCTGGAATTATATATAGACCTGGCTGGCTTTGAACTCACAGAAACCAGTGTATCTCTGCCTCTCAAATCCTGGGATCAAAGGTGTGTCCCACCATGCCTGTTAAGTGACAGTTTTGACAGTTCTTATAATTTTTATCAGAAGCTATCTTTCTTCCAGCTAGGTAATTCCTGTGTCAGGCCAGGAGTGCTTTTCAAATTGTATTGTAATAAAGAAAAGATAACCTCAGGGCGGAGAGTGAGGACTCCAGCACTAGGCAAGCCCTTTCACCTAGAAGGCTAGACCAGTGTGTTCATCTGTATTAAATTTCACAACCTCAGACCCTTGAACAGTTAGACTTTTTTTTTTTTTTTTTTAAAGGGAGTTCTATGGGAAGTCTTGGAGCCCTTTTAGCTCTGAAGCTAGTTCCTGGGAGAACTGCCTTGTGGTTAAGGAGTGCCAGTGGCAAGCCTTCATCTGTACAGTCCAGCCCCAGACCTGGGTTTTGGAGTTCCCCATGTCCCTTTCAAGGCCTCAGTCAACCTCTGGCTTCTGCCTTTCCCTGGCTTGAGGCGGGGAAGAAGCCGTGGACTTGAAACTGCCCAGGATTAGTAATGGTTGAGTTGTGTGGACTTGAAACTGCCCAGGATTGGTAATGGTTGAGTTGTGTGGACTTGCTTCCTGTATTTTTTTTGCTGGAAACGAGGGAGTTAGCTCGCTCTGTTTGACTGAAGTCCACAGAAAGCTTGGGTGGATGTGAAGGCTGAAGGTTTCTGCCGTGCTGTAAGAGATTTGAGAGTGGACTCCTTGGCCTTGCTTGGGTTCTGAAAAAGGACCCAAATAACCTTAGATTCTTTACTTGAGGCTTACGGAGTTCCAAACACCCCTCAAGTCTTTTCCACTTTCCTCTCCCCACAGAGGAAGGCATTACTGGGTACCTACCTCCCAGCGGCTCTTTGGGGGTCAGATTGTGGGCCAGGCCCTGGTGGCTGCAGCCAAGTCTGTGAGCGAAGACGTCCACGTGCACTCCCTACACTGCTACTTTGTCCGGGCAGGTAAACCCCGCACCTTGGTGCCTCACTTGCAGCCACCTTTGGTAGCCCAGTGGTTACTGCTTCCTTCCTGGCTTTGAAGGCTGATTGGAGAGGAGAATTAGAGAGGAGGATGAAGAAGGGAGAGAGAGATGATTCCCTGAAAGGTTCCTAGGGGGGCTGAGCATGGGACTTAGTAGTAGCACACTTGAGTAGCACACGGAAGGGTCTGTGTTCCATCTCAGGGACCCAGAAAAGCAGGGAGCGAGCTCAGGTCTGTAACCCCAACACTCGGGAGGCTGAGACACGATCTGGAAACAACCTGGATCCTGTCACACTCACTGAGACCCATTAAGTACATTCTCTGTTTCTTAATGACATGGACCAATGCTTATCTGCTCTCGGTGGGCCTGTCCTGGAGCTTTCTTGTTGGATTTTATTTTGAGATATGGTCTCATTGTGTAGCCCTGGCTGGCTTCAGCTTTTGTGACATCAGGCCTGGCTCTGTTCTTTATTCATCCTTTCCGCTTGCCTCTGCTTCCCAAGAGCTGGGATTAAGGGCATTTGCCACCATACCCAACCTTCATTCATTAAACAAAAAAAGTATGCATTTGCTTATTTTTAAAAAGATATATGTCTATGTCTAAATGAGCACCATGTAGCTAGCATTCCTACTGTCTGAGGAGGTGTTGTATACCCTGGATTTGGAGTTACGAGGGATTGTGAGCCACGCTGTAGGTGGTAGGAACCAAACAGGTTTCCTCGGCAAGAGCAGACAGTGCGCTTAACTGAAGAGCACCTCACCTGCCTCGCTTTTGTTGTTTTGAGACAGGGTCTCACTATGCAGCCTGGCTGGCTTGAAACTCACCATTCAGACCAGGGTGGCCTTGAACTCACAAAGGTCTGCCTGCCTCTGGCTCCTGAGTGTTTCAGACTAAGGGCCTGCACCTCTATGTCTAGCCCTCTTCATCCTTTTCTCGTGTCCAGACTGCTAAGTCTTCGTAGGGCTGTAAACTGCTATTGGGATAGAAGGTAGGTGATTCGGAAACTCAGTTTCAGCTTTACAGTAATTACCACGGTATTCTTGAGCGAGCTTACCTTCTTTTGCTAAGATTGAGCTCATCTGTGAAACAGAGGCAAGGTGGGACCGGAGTTGTTTCAGTAGAATCTCTTAGATTCTTAGAGCTCTGAGCTCAGATACAAAGAACTTCTCATTGCAAACTCTTGATCTGGGCTGGCGATGTACCTCAGCAGCTGCATGCTGCTTGCAGAGTGGTGGTCTCATGTGTCCCTGGCTGGCCTCAGACTTGCTGTGTAGCCATGGATGTCCCTAACTAACATTCTGATCTTCTTGCCTGTGGCTCCTCGGTGCTGGGATTACAGGTACCACCAAACCTTTGGTGCTGGGTAGAATCCAGGGTTTTGTTCATATTAGGTAAGTCCTATACCAACAGAGCCTTGTCCCAGTCCAACCCTGATCTTCTTATCCTGTGATTCTTTTAGCTAAAGAGATGCCTGACTGGGTTTTGTTTGTTTTTATGCTAAATTACCAAGTCTGGCTTGGAATTCTAATCCTCCTGCCTCAACTTCCTGCATGTTGGCATTATAGACTGGTGCCTAAATATATTAACTGGCCTTAGTTTTGATTCTAAAATCAGGGACCACTTCATTTCAAAAGTAGAATAAGGCTGGGCAGTGGTGGCGCATGCCTTTAATCCCAGCACTTGGGAGGCAGAGGCAGGCGGATTTCTGAGTTCGAGGCCAGCCTGGTCTACAGAGTGAGTTCCAGGACAGCCAGGACTACACAGAGAAACTCTGTCTGGGGAAAAAAAAAAGTAGAATAAGTTGCCAGGTGCATGCCTTTAATCCAGCATTCAGCAGAAGCAGGTAGATCTCTGTGAGTTTGAAGTCAGCCTAACCTACAAAGTAAGTTCCAGGAAAGCTAGGGCTATGGAGAGCAACCCTGTCTTGAAAAACAAAACAAAACAAAACAAAACAAAACAAACAAATATAAAAGAGAAGTGTGGGCTCAACATGGTGGACCATGCCTTTAATCTCAGCACTAGGGAAGCAGAGGCAGCCAGAGTTCTGGGAGTTGGATGCTATCCTCTACAAAGTTCCAGTGAGATCCTGACTCAAATAAATTAATTCGATATTTAATTAAAAAAGGAGAAAAAGTGTTTCAGTCAGGCAGAAGAGGTTGGTATTTATACACAGAGAAAGGCTAAAAACCTAGAACCGGGAAGTATGTCTGTCATTTCCGTTTCTCTGCATGGGGCTGGAGGTGTATTTCAGTGGCAGAGCTCTTGTCTTAGCAGGCATGACCCTCTTCATCCCCAAACAGCTCTAAACCAACAGCTCTTCTAGTTTCACCAGTCTCTGTACCAAGTGGAGAAAGACAAATGTGCGTCCCTGACCAATCACATACATGCCCCCTCCTCCACGGCTCCCCTGCAGCTTCCCCAGGCCCACAGCCTCCAGTCTGGGCACACCCAGCACACTCTCTGTTCTCTGCTGTAGACGCGGCCCCCTCCCATGCCTGTCTGGATCTCTGCCAAATGCATGTGACAGCAACATGTTGAGAAGTCTGTCTTTAAAAACTAAAAGAAGATGGTATGATGTTCACACTTGTAATTCTAGCATTTGAGAGGCAGAGGCAAGAGGATTGCCCTCAGTTCCAGGCCAGCCTAAGCTACAGAGTGAAAGCCTGTCTCAAAACAACAACAACAACCCCAACCAGCCAACCAGCCAACCAACCAACCAACCAAGAAATCAGGATGAGTAGAACGGAGGTGGCTGTCTTACTAACTGTGATGATGACGACCCATGGATTTACTTAGGGTCATTGTATCCCTATATCCACTGCAGGGGACCCGAAGGTGCCAGTGCTGTACCAGGTGGAGAGGACACGGACCGGAGCGAGCTTCTCGGTGCGCGCTGTGAAGGCGGTGCAGCACGGCAAGGCCATCTTCATCTGCCAGGCCTCCTTCCAGCAGATGCAGCCCAGCCCCCTGCAGCACCAGTTCTCCATGCCCACTGTGCCCCCGCCCGAGGAGCTGCTGGACCACGAGGCCCTCATTGACCAGTACTTAAGGTGAGGGGGCTAGTGTGTGCGAGGTGTGTTCTACCACCCAGCTACACTCTAGATCTTAGAACGGTATTACTTTGACCTATAGTAAAAACCACATTTGGGCCCCAGGCATAGTCTGCATCCTTTAGAGACAGGCAAGTCTGTGAGAGTTCAAAGCTAGCCTGGTCTACATGGGGAGTCCCAGCCAGCCAGCCATCCTTATGTAGAAAGATCACATCTTTAAGTGAAAAAGAAAACAGCTCTCAGATGCATTCTGCATTCTGATATTTCTATACTAGTCTCCATTTCCCTTTTTTTTTTTGTTTTTTGTTTTTTTGTTTTTTTGTTTTTCGAGACGGAGTTTCTCTCTGTAGCCCTGGCTGTCCTGAAACTCACTCTGTAGACCAGGCTGGCCTTGAACTCAGAAATCCACCTGCTTCTGCCTCCCAAGTGCTGGGATTAAAGGCGTATGCCACCACTGCCTGGTTCCATTTCCTTTTAAAAATCTAGTATTGTGTGTGTGTGTGTGCACGCGTGCGTGCGTGCATGCGTGTGTGGCGTGTTTGTGCATGTGCGTGCTGTCACAGCGTATGTACGATGTGTATGCCGTGTTTGTGTGAGGATAGGACTCAGGTCCTCAGGCCTGTATGCCACCTCGCCTCCCTGCTCTTTATTTTTAAATTTATTTTTGTATGTACGTATTTAAATGTAGGAGTGCTCTGTCTGCATGTACACCTACATGCCAGAAGACGGAGCCACCATGTGGTTCCTGGGAATTGAACTCTAGACCTCTGGAAGAGCAGCTGGTGCTTTTAACTGCTGAGCCACCTCTCCAGCCCACTCCTTTATTTTCAATTAGAGTGTGTTGTCTGAAGTCATGGGTTTCATTTTGACAGCTTCACGCATGTGTCTACTGCATTTTTATTCTATGCCCCCACGCTACCTCTCGTCCCCTTTCTCATACAGTCCCAGGGCAGTGTTTTCAAGCTCTGCCTCCTACTCAGTTGTGGGCCAGAGCCTCTCAGTGGGTCTTGACTATGCACTAAAAGCATACACTAGATGCAAGCACTTGGGAGGCAGAGACAGATGGAGCTCTGTGATCCCCAGGTTAGCTAGGGCTACATGAGACCCTGTCTCAAAAACACGGGGGTAGGCTGAAGAAACGGCTCAGGCATTAAGAGCACTTGCTGCTCTTGCGAAGTGTGCCTCCAGCAGCCACATGGTGGCTCAAAACCACCTCTAAATCTAGTTCCAAAGGCGTTGACACCTCCTTCAGGCCTCCACAGCCAGGAAACACAAACGTCATGCACATGCATACATGTAAGTAAACACTAACACATATGAAACAAAAACAAATTTTATATATATAGAGAGAGGTGGGGACAGTCTGGGAGGTATTCTCTGCTAGAACATGTGCTTAGCATGCCCAAGACTCTAGATTCATCCCCAATACTGTATGCACATACACATATGCATATATAAATATATATGTATACAGAAATGTATGTATTTTATATACAGTATACAGAAGCAGAAAAGGAGGTATTAAAGTCTAGTGTGCACCTAGGGCAAGAGCCCTCTGAGCCACTTGAGTTTCAGTGTTAGCACATGTGCATGTGGGGTCACAGTGTAAAAAGGGCAGAGCTTACACTCAGCCAGCAGCCAGCACTGGGGGTAGCTTCAATGTTATTGAAATATTGGTTGGTGCCAGTGAGATGGCTCAGCAGGAAGAAGTGCTTGCTGTACAAGTCTGATGACCTGGTTCAATCCCCGGAATCCATATAAAGGTAGAAGTAGAAAAACTCTCCACACACGTGCTGTAGAACACGTGCATACTCTCCGTACCCATCCATCCTCGAACTCTGTCTTTAAGATTTATTTATTTGATTTTTATGAATACACTGTCTTCAGACATATCAGAAGAGGGCATTGGATCCCATTACAGATGGTTGTGAGCCACCATGTGGTTGCTGGGAATTGAACTCAGGACCTCTGGAAGAACAGTCAGGGCTCTTAACCACTGAGCCATCTCTCCAGCCCCTCAGTACCCATCCATAATAAATGAAATAAAATATTTTAAAAATTGCCTCTAAGTTCAATTCTCAGTACTTGAATCCAACAGTAAATGGCCTTTACAACCACTCAGTAAATAAATAGCCACCTCCAGTCCTGGGCTGATGCCCTTCCTGCTTCAGGCCTATGGTGCAGCAGCTTTGGAATGAATGCATGGCAGAATGCGGCCCTCCTCTGGGACCCTGCTGCAGAGTATGGCCCTCTGGTCAGTATCTTCACTTTAGAGTCTTCTGACTATTTTGATTCTTTCTTGGTAACTTACTGAGATCACAACGAATAAAGTCTGATATGTGTTGGATATAGGGAAGAGCTCTGGATCTAGACACAGACACACACACACACACACACGCACGCACGCACAGAGTCTGGCCAGGGACTGCACCTCTGTTAGTGTCTACCTGCTGTGGGATTTCCCATCCCTCAACCTCGCACGGCCCTAGATTCTTCATCTAAAGTACAGGAGCAGTCATTTCCTCAGCTGTGCCAAGGGGGAGAGGGCTTGTTGTTTGTGTTGGATACTGGGGTGGCAGCAGTGGAGCATGAAAGATGGGCGTGGGTTCAGGAGGCCGAACGGCCAGGATTCAAGTCTACACTCTGTCCCTGATAGCTATGTGAGTTTGGGCAAATGCTTGCCCGCTCTAAATCCATACATTAGATTATGACTTGTGCTAATCATAACTCCCACCTCAAGGTTGCTTTGAGGATTCAATAAGAAATATATAGGCACTTAGCTATTTAGGGGTGCATGAGACTTAGTGTGTGCAGAAATAAAAATAATGTATTATTGTTAAAGGAGCCTGAATTCAGGACTATGCTCGTCAATAAGGTAGCAGCTGGCCCTATAGGCTGTCTTACATTTATGAAGTAGAATGAGCAGTTCTTTTGTGTGTGTGGTACTAGGGATCAAATTCCCAAGGCTCTGTGCACGCTAGGCAGGCTCCCTGCCACGGAGCCTCCTCCTCACCCCACACCCCTCACTGATCGTGTTCTCTGGTACAGTTGCTACATTTCAGGTTCTCAGTCTCGTGTGGCTAGTGGCTGCCCCAGGGGACAGTGCAGGTGAACAGTCCACCAGTGGCACAGCCTGCTAAGAACTGAGGAGTTCACGGAAATGGAGTCCCCGGCACACAGTGCTTCCAACTGCTTAGGGTAGAGAATGCAGACATATCAGGAGGCTGCTCTTGAATGTACACAGTCATGAAGTGGTTAGATACATAAACTGCCCGACATCAGATCTCCCGTCATGCTCTGAGCAAGCCACCTGGATTCCTATGCTCACCTCTTATCAGTTGATAACACTTGCCATGTGAGGTTGTGCGAGGCATGAGCTATGGTCGGGTGCAGCGCCTAGGCCTTAGCTGTGTGGAATGTTTGCTGGGAGACAGGTCACATTATTACTCATGTTTCAGGAGGGAAAAGTAGGCTCAGAGAGATGACTAACTTGCCCAAGGCTGAAGGGACAGGGGAGGGATTCAGACACTATATTGTTTTGTCAGCATCATAAGGAAACTTTCCTGAGTCCCTGTGGAAAATGATCAGAAAGGGCAGCAGACAGAAGCTCCATCTCCTCAGACCTCCACGTCCCTGTGTTTACTTCCAGGGATCCTAACCTTCACGAGAAATATCGAGTGGGGCTGAACCGAATTGCTGCCCGGGAGGTACCCATTGAGATCAAGCTGGTGAACCCACCCACCCTGAACCAGCTCCAGACACTGGAGCCCAAACAGATGTTCTGGGTTCGAGCCCGGGGCTATATTGGTAAGAGGACCCACGATTTGGAGGAATACACTTCAGGAGTCTAGCTAGGCCTTGCCACTCATCTGCCCTCTGTGGCTTAGGTAGACCACTCTCTCTTTGGCTTGTTTCCTAACAGGCTCTCACTAGAGCCCTTACCCTTTAACATGAGAATGAGGTGACTGTAATCTCATTGTTGGACCTTTCTGGGGGGTAAGCAAGCTACCTTGCTGAGGTTCTTACCTAGATTGGCAGCTCACCATGGATGTCTTTGTGCAAATTAGTTCCAGGACCAGAGAGAGTGGCTGGAGGTGAGAGAATTGGAAGAGCAGGTTTACATTTAACTTACCTCTGTCCTGTCTTAGCCCTCCGTTATTCTTACACACAAAGCCCTACCCTGGGTCAGATGCCCTTGCATAAGGACTAGTGTGTGTATGGCAGCCCCTTTCTCCTCCACCTCCCTGCAGGTCCTGAGCTGGAAAGGCCAGGAGCCCAGGGCTGATGGGATTGGGACCTGTTGCAGGGGAGGGCGACATCAAGATGCATTGCTGTGTGGCTGCTTATATCTCTGACTACGCCTTCCTGGGTACGGCATTGCTGCCCCACCAGTCCAAGTATAAGGTGAACTTCATGGTCTCACTGGACCACTCCATGTGGTTCCACGCCCCATTCCGAGCTGACCACTGGATGCTCTACGAGTGTGAGAGCCCCTGGGCTGGTGAGTGTGGGCTCGTGGGTCAGTGTCTGTGGAATGGTGGGGAACCTGCTTTGTTTTGGATGCTGCTGCCTCTTCCCACTTCCTGGGGCTCCTTGCACTGCGGCCCTTCTAGGCATTTGTGTTGTCTTCAGAAGTATGGGAACATGCCAGGAACGATTGACTTTATCTCAGAGACCAGTACAGGTGGCCAGGCCACTTCAGGTCCCCTATGTGCGCTTGGGCAAATCCGGTTTGAAGCTCTTTTGGTTTCGTCTCATGTACTCCTGCTGGCCTTGAGCTCGGATGGAGTGGAGTCTGGCCTTAGGGGCATGCTCATCCTGGCTCCACCTCCTAAGTGCTGGAAGCCACGTACCCTGCTTCTCAGTTTTTTCATCTGAATAAATAGGCTCCTTACACCACACCATCTAAACCACCTAAGCCATCATGTGCCACTAGGGGGAACTGTTTCTAGACAGATTGCATTGTGCCGGGCAGGTCCTGGATCAGGTCCAGGAAAGTGCCTTTTCTTTTTTCAGACAGCTTCATGTATCTTAGGTTAGCCTTGAACTCACTATGTAACTGGAGGTGATCACTACTGCTTGATCCTCCTAACTTCTCCTGAGTGCGGGGATCAAATCCAGGCCCCTTATATTCTAGGCAAGCACCCTGCTAACTGAGTTACATCCTCAGGAAACTGGGTTTTGGGTTTTTTGGTTTTGTTTTTTTTTTGTTTTTTTTTTTTTGTTTTTTTGTTTTGTTTTCTGAGACAGGGTTTCTCTGTGTAGCCCTGGCTGTCCTGGAACTCACTCTGTAGACCAGGCTGGCCTCGAACTCAGAAATCCGCCTGCCTCTGCCTCCGAAGTGCTGGGATTAAAGGCGTGCACCACCACTGCTCGGCAGTTTTGTTTTTTTGAGACAGGGTTTCTCTGTGTAGCCCTGGCTTACTTGGAACCTGCTTCTGTAGACCAGGCTGGCCTCGGACTTACAGAGATCCACCTGCTTCTGCTTCCTGAGTGCTGGGATTAAACGTGTGTACCGCCACCACCCGATTATAAACTGTATTTCTAAGGCGCTCCCTGAGTGTTTCTGTGAGTTAGCACCGTGGGGCAGGGCACTGTGGTCTGTAAGGGTACAACTTCTGGATGCTCCTGTAGGGAACAGAGAGAAACCCAGACTCCACAAAATCTACTGTTAGAACCCTGGCTTCTCTTATAATGAAGTACACTTCAAAGGAAGAAAAGCTTTGCTTTATAAACGGATGAAACTTAAGCAACAGTCAGGAAAGGATTCCTCAAGTACAAACACCATTGCTCACAAGATTTGTGACCTTGAAGTTAGGACACTCAGTCAGCTTTGGCCTGATCCTTAGGGCCAAGTTCCCGAGCCTGTTTGTACTTTAGTGTCGTTGTCTGGAAAACAGGACATGGAGTGAAGCCCGCACTCTGTGGCTACAGTTAGATCTCAGTAGGCTCTGCTGTGTGTAAGGAAACCTGAAGTTAGCCTCCTGCGGATAACTAGATCAGGCTCAGAGCCACCAAGGGAGAGACAGGGAAAGAAAGTCACACCTCTTAGGCTCAGGTCCTCTCAGGTGTACCCTCCCCCTTGTGGTGATTTGGGTGAATTACCACCTGGGAGGACTTGGCTTGGTGTATCAGAGAGGAAAGAATGGGATTTCTGACAAGTGGCAGAGATGTGGCAGTCTGCTTGGCCAAGCCTTTGGAGACTTGTCCCAGCCCCTCTGTGATCTTTGTGAGGAAGTGAGCCGATACGTGAAAGTGGGCTGGGGCCTGGGGAGCACGCCACCTAGCGACTATAATAGGCTCACATGGGCACTTGGCACTTTAGAATCGTGATGTTCCAGTGTGCCGCTGTTGTATGGGGGTTGGCTCAGCCCTGTATCAAACCTTTTGCAGGCAAAGCAGGCTTGTGCTGAAGCAGGGGCCATTCTCACCCTTCTCTTTGCTCACAGGTGGCTCTCGAGGGCTAGTGCATGGGCGGCTGTGGCGTCGGGATGGGGTCCTTGCTGTGACCTGTGCCCAGGAGGGTGTGATCCGATCGAAGCCTCGGGTATCAGAGAGTAAGCTATAGTCACAGATAACTGGCTCAGCCTGGGGCTAAAAGGACTCTTTCCACTGCCGTTCCTGAGGCAGGAGTCCCAGTTGAGAGTTGGGCTTCCTGCCTCTTCCATCCAATAAAGAGATTGCTAACACTGGAGTAGCTGACCTTTAATAGAACGACAGCCCTCCCCGTGCCTCTGAATTCCAGGACTCCAGTAGCAGTCCCCAGCCCTTCACCAAGCTGTTTGACTGGTTTAAAGGCCCTGACCTTGGCCACAGCTTCCAGTTGTGGTAGGCTGAAGAGGGCGTGCCAAGACTTCCTCTTGGTATCATCCTAAGGTAACCCCAGCCAGAGCCTGTTCCTAGTCCTGTCTGGTAAAACAAAGTTCCTCTCAGTCTGCTACAGACTCTTTCTGGAACTACTTTAGGGGCTCCTCAACCCTTGCCCCCTAACCTGGGCCAGCCCATCTCCTAGACCTGGCCTTAAGACAGGAAAAAGTTAGTCCAGCACCTCTTTGATAAGCAGCTCCTTGAGGCTGGGGGGTGGGGTAGGGGTAAGGCCTGCCTCCTGTAGGGCCTGAAGCTGGGCCTCTGACTGCCGTTTGTCCAAGCCCAGGCGCCAGGAGAGCCGGACGTGGGCCTCAAGAAAGGGTGCCAGGAAAGGATGGGGTCGCTTGTCCCCCAGCAGCTGAAGAGCCTTCTCACAACACGCTCGTGCTTCCCCGGGATCCTCCAGCTCCTGATGGCACACAGCCAACCCAGCCAGAGTCAACAGGGGGCGGTCTGGGCCAGAAGGGGTGCCCAACTGGGTCTGCAGCTGCCAGGCGTTGGCCCACAGTGCCAGAGCCTCACGATAAAGACCAGTGCAGGTGAGGCTCTGCGCCCGCCGCAACTCAGGCAGCACAAAGAAGTCCTGCAGGTCTGGAGCTTGGCGTAGCTCAGGCACTGCCTGCAGATGGCCCAAAAACTGTTCAAAGGCCCTGCTGCGACGGGCAATGGTTTCTGCAGTAAAGTTCCGGCGTAGGCGCTTCCGGGGAAAGGAGATGGCAGACATGGGGCCCCGGAATTGTCTCTGCAGGTTTCTGTGCAGCCGCTCAAAGTCCGAGTATCGGCGAGAGATCTGGGCTGGCTGGCGATCTGGTGGCCCTGGGCCCATCACGGCGAGGGTGTAGAGCTGTAGGAAGGGTGGATGTGAGGGCTGATGTAAAACATTTGTGGGTCTCTTCCCTCCCTCCCTCCTTACGCCGGGCTCTGCTCTTCCACCTCACCTCTTCTTGGGACTGGCTAGGAGGGAGCTGCAGAGCAGCGGCCGGCCGGAACCCATTCTCATCTTACCTGAGGCTCCTCTGAAATGACCCAGGCCCAAGGCAGCATGGGGGAAAGAAACAGAAATGAGCTTCAGTGTCTGGGGCTGCCACCATGTTACTGCTCTGGGAAATGTTCCTTGTCCCTAGGAAGTTAGTTTTTGGGAAGGCCTCAGGAAAGCCAGGAGTGAACTGAAACCCAGACCCTTCTTTTGGGCCTCTGAGCCAATCTGAAAGCCAGCTTGGAACTATGTGCCACTCTGGATACATTATAGGCCAAGCTCATTCAAACCAGACCAAAGGACAGGGCTTCCGACAGCCTCAGGTCAAAAATTATGCGTTCTGTGGACCGAGGCTCATGTAACTACAAGTCAGTGTCCCTGTGACCACAGGCAAAGCAGAAGCCCTCAGATCCACCTCTGCTGTGGTGAAAAGTTCCTCGGTTACGGTCATTGTTTGCTCAGGTATGGAATGGATTGGGGCTCTAGGTTTTTAGGTGCACACACTAAGTATACTGCATCATTAACAGGGTGATCCCTGCTGCTATCTGATTCCTTTCTGGTTTTGGCCCTGGAGACAGTCTCACTGCGTGGCCCACAATGGCCTCTAAGTCATAGTCTTCTGAGTGGTAGGACTAAAGGAATGTGTCACCATGCCCAGTCCCTTTAATTCTTTTTGTTTGTTTGTTTATTTTGGGTTTAGTGTCTGTCTGTCTGTCTGTCTCCCACCTACACCTTTCCCCATGTGCATGTACATGTGTGTGTTGTGTTTGGGCACACATACCTGAGCCTGATGCCATCGTTTACAAATGGGGGTTAGAGGAAACCTTTCAGGATTGGGTTCTCTTCTTCCATCCTGAGATTTGAGGACAGCTCAGGTCATTGGGTCATGACAAGTGCTAGGCTATTTTGTTTGGCAAGATTGTGTCTTGTTTTTTGAGACAGTCTCGTGGGTCTTGGCTGACTGGCTGACCTCAAGCTTGTTCTGTAGTGAAGTGCTGACTCTACAGGAATACCTAATACACCCAGTGTATGCAGAGCTGAGGATGGAAGCTGGAGCTAGCCAGTCACTCTACCAATGAAGCAAGCCACACCTCAAGTCCTCTGCAGGAGTCCAAGGTCTCTGTAGCCCAGGCTAGCCTTACTTTTGGTGATCCTCTTGCCTCAACTCCAAGCGTAGGGATTACAGGCATGGGCACCGTGGCTTCCTTCCTTCCTTCCTTCCTTCCTTCCTTCCTTCCTTCCTTCCTTCCTTCCTTCCTTTCTCTTCCTCCTCATCCTTGTCCTCCTCTTTTTCCTCTTCCTCCTTTTTTTTGAGATGGGGCTCTCCCTTTGTTGTTTTTGGCTTTGACCACCTAGGCTCAGGTAATCCTCCTGCCTCAGCCTAAATAGCTGGGACTACAGTCATGCACTGCCATGTTCACCCTTTATTTCAAGCACAAATTGCTATTTTGTTTAAACAATTCGTCTTTATTTTTTGGGAAAGAGCCAGCAGTCTCAGTTCAGCACACTCTGCAGGGAACAGCATTTGGCAAGGTTTAATGAACCTTGGGCCTTGTAGGCACCCTGTACCTTTGAGTGACATCTTCAGCCTCAAACTGTGTGTTTGTGTGTGTGTGTGTTTATATCATCAGTCCCTGACTCCATTTTTCAAGACAGTCTCATGTAGCCCAGGCTGCCTCACACATGCTATGTAGCTCAGGATGACCTCCTCCTGTTTCTCTTTTCTTCACATATTACAGGTATGCTTCACTATGCCAGGTTCTGTCTGTCTGTCTCTCTTTCTTTGTGTGTGTGTGTTTTACTGTGAGACAGGGTTTCGTTAAATTGCCTGAGAATGCCTCAAATTCACTATGTAGCAAAGGCAATCCTCAAACTTATGACTGCAGCCTCCCAAGAAGACGGGGTACAGGGCAGAATCACTGGCCTGGCAGCTGTATACTTTTTAACTTTTCTTTTTCACAAGTAGTGCTATAAAGGTGGCTTTTAAATGTACTTTAGAAAAAGAGAGTTCCTTTAAAGAACAATGTTTTAAGAGCAGTGCTGAGGCAGGCAGGACTGAATGCTCAAGGACTGCCTGGGTTACACAGCAAGTTCAAGACTACCCTGGGCCACTTAGTGAGGCTATCTCAAAACAGACATTTAAAAAAAAAAAAAAAGACTGAGAATATAGCTCAGGGGTCAAGCTCTTGCTTAAGCATGCACAAGGCCCTAGTGTCAGTACCACCTTCCCCTCAAAGTTAAGCAAAGAGTGGGACAAGTTCCACTTTAGTTTTAATTGTATGTGGGGAGGTGGTAATGTGTGTGCCGTCTAGTACATTTGGGCATATGTGCCACAGTATCATGGGGGTCAGAACAACTTTGGGAGGTTGGTTCTTTCCTTTCACAATGGGTTCTGGGGGTTAAACTCAGGTTGTTAGGCAAGCACCTTTTCTGACTGAGCCATTTCCCAGGCCTAGCAACATTTTCAAGGAAACAAAAGAATATAATGATTCCTGTTTGTGAAACACTAACCAGGATGACTACAAAGTGTCCCCACAGATCCCAGATCTAAAGTAAGGATTAGTTACGACTAATGGGATTGATGCCAAGCTGAGGGTTTAACAGGAGCACCTGCAAGTGTCCCATATAAAAGGGCGGCCCTGCATACACAGACATGTTTCTCAAATGTATTCGATGGAACTGTCAAGAGCCCCGGTATTCCAGTTAGGTTTACCTGGTCTTTCTTCTTTTGAAGATTCACAGTGCATTAAAACAAAAAACCCATTTCACACCCACCAACTTCCTATTAAAACATACCGACTAGATACTGTTTCCTTTCTCTCCACCCCACCCCCACCCCCAGGCTGGCTTTGAACTCCTGACCCTCATGCCTCCACCTCTCAAATACTGGACATATAAACCCACCTGCCAGGCTTCGCTCTTTTCTTTTTTTTCTACAACCCTAAGAAAAAGTATTTTCCACAGGCCACACTGTAGGCAAAGCTGCTCTGCAGCCACCTTTTATGTATACAGGCTGGTTTTTAAAATGCGAACACGCTTACTCTTGGAGATTATTATGTGCGTGTAAATCACTAAAATGTGAACACGCTTACTCTTGGAGATTGTTATGTGTGTGTAAAACACACTTTCATCATAGGTACTCTTCACTTCTCCCTTCTATTTTTATTTTCAAATTTTTGCCAAAGACCATTTTCTATCCGCTTCCTTCACCTGATGCTCATAGTGACCCCCCAACTTAGGTCACAGTGGTTGTGGCTGTCAGAGCTTAGCTGTAGGCCAATGAGCGAGGACTTCCTAACCTGCATGAGGCCATGGGCTCCATCCGTAGTAGCACAGCATGGCGTGACTGCTGTTCTGTCGACTGCCTCTTGCTGGACCATACTTCTCCATCCTGGTGTCATTTAACCATCCACAGCCCTGCAAGGATGGTATCTTGTCTCTGTCAGCTGAGGAAGCAGGCTCCCAGAGGAGTGAAGAGCACAACACTGGCCCTGAGATCTGATGCTAAAGCCCTTACTCTTGACCTCCAGGAGAAGAAATATGGAAACATGGGGTGCCCACTGTACAGAGGAGGAGGCTTTCCACCTAGGCCTCTTGAGTCACCCACATTCCTTTCTGAGAGAACTGCTCTTTGCTGACTGATTCTTGGTGTCTCCTTCCTGTGCATGACCCCTTACTTGCCTCAGAGCTCTGGAACATTTGCCACTTAAGATTGGACCATTGGGGAGGCAGAGGCAGGTGGATTTCTGAGTTCGAGGCCAGCCTGGTCTACAGAGTGAGTTCCAGGACAGCCAGGGCTACACAGAGAAACCCTGTCTCGAAAAACCAAAAAAAAAAAAAAGATTGGACCATCGGGTTAGGAGTGTGTAGTTCATGGTACAGCATCTACTTAGCATGCATAAGATTTGATGCTTAACAAGATATAAAGCTGTAGTCATCTAGCAATGCCTGCACAAAATAGGTGTGGTCCTCGTTACTAACAGCAACAGAGAAGGGTGGAGAGACCCAAATGTGGGACAGACCTCCAGGCCCTCTGTCTGACTGAATCAGAGGTAGAAGAGGGAAGGGATAAGCTGGGAGTTGTTACTGCCAGGGCTGACCAGGACCAGCTAGCTCAGATGGGTTTTAGACCTGAAGAGAGCAGAACCCGGTGGGCCTCTTGTCTTTCCCCTTCACAGCAAGGAAAGCAGGGACTCCAGGCCTGGCTCCAGACAGCTCTTTCCTCCTTAGCCCTGATGTGCTGGAGGCGGGACTGCGGGAGAGCTGATTCAGCAGGATGTTGCAGCAGGCTCTCCATACCTGACACTGATAATCTACAGTTAAATAAGAATATAGGCTGAATATCCTTATCTAACGTGCTTAGGATCAGAGGTAAATATTTCAGATTTTGGAATATATGTACGTATACACACACACACACACACACACACATACATTTCTTAGAAATAGGCCCAAGTCTAAATACAAAATCAGTACAGTAAATATTCTGAGACAGGATCTCATGTCTTCCAGGAGACTGGGCTTGAGCTTATGTGGCTGAGGCTGATCTTGAACCCCTGATCTGAGGGACTCCCCTTTCCAGGGCTGGGGTCACAGGTGTGTGCCACCACACCCCCTTCTGTAGAGCTGGGCAAGCACTCTCATCCACTGAGCGTTCATTGCATGGCTCCTAAAACTCACGAGTATGCACTTTCTGGACACAGCCTGAAGGGTAGGTTTGGTTTTTGTTTGTTTTGAGACACGGTTTTATGTTGCCCAAACTGGTTTTGCTGGGTCTCTGGATTGCCCTTAAACTGACACTCACACACTCAGCTCTGGAGGTAGTTTTATGTTATTTCCAGGGTTTGGATAAAGCTCAGAACTCTTGAGCACTAGAAGCAAGCGCTATATCAATGAGATACATTCCAGTTTGTTTGGACTTTTTTTCGTTTTTGAGACAGGGTCTAAATATATAGCCTTAGCCCAGGTTAGCCTTGAACTTGGGGGCAGTCTCATTGCATCAGCCTCTCAAGTCCCTATACAACATTTTTAAACAGGCCTACATTTTGAGCACACATCACGTGAAGTTAGGTGTGGAATTTTCCACTTGGGGCATCGCGTTGGCACTCAAATGCTTTGGATTTTCAAGCATTTCAGATTAGGGAATTTGAAACTTTATAGTTACCATTTTAATCTGTCACAGTGCCTGACAATGCTAAGGTCTCTGCGCCTAGTCCCACTTACACCTCTTGTTATAATCTCACGTACTGTCTACTGCTCAAAAGAGGAAACTGGGGGCCATTGAGGTCACAGACGCTACCCAGGGGGAAGCCTCTGGTAAGTACAGGGCATGTGAATCAAGGCAGATCTGGATCCAAAGCCGGTTTCCTTAATCCTGACCCATGCAACCAGGTCTCAACGCTGTGTCCTGCTGCAGTTGACAAAAAACCACAGGGTACAGGACAGCACACACGTCAGTTCTAAAACTCAACACTAGGACAGGAGGCAACTCCTATGCCACTTTCTCAGTTTTAGAGAAACTTGAGTCATTTGCCTGAGGACTTGTTCACTGACACCCATCTTAAGTAGTCTCAGTTCCCTCAGGTGTAAAATAAGGACCTCCAATTATAGCTGCATAGCCGCGACCCCCCCACCCCCCAAAGCTGTGGTATTCCCTACTTTCTCTCAGCCAGACTTCTAGACTCACAGCTCAAGGGTTCCTGGAACCTCACTCACCACGTACTTGGAGGGAGGGTCCTTGACAACATTGGCGCTGGTCACCTCAAAGAGCAGCCGCTGTGGAACTAGGGTGTTCCGAGACTTTTTCCAGAAATCCTGCAGCTGGCGGGCCAGGAGTTGACTGCTCCGTTGTCCATCAGGTGGGGGACTTCGTTCTGCACAAGCACATGACCAGTCATTATGGGGCTAGCTAGCTCCAGAGTTAACGTAAACAAAATGCCATGACCTCATTCCCAAGAGAGAGATGTGCTTTATCCTAGCGCCTGGCTTACAGTAGATACGAAATCTCCACCCAAAGCGGCTAGCACACCATACATTTGTTTCCCTAGTCCTGTGCATTTAATATCCACAAAAAAACCAGAGATGGTGTGATTCCCAGAGTGTTGTGACTCAAGGTCACACAGCCAAACGGTGTCTGGAAGAGCTTATAGTGTCAACAGTTTCTGGGAGATAACTCATAGCCCCCAGGATGCTCTCGGACCGCGTCCAGCGGGGAGGCCTAACCAAGCCCCGGGGTTCCTGTCTGTCCTCCCGCACTCGCCTGCGTCTTCTCCCGATGTCCCGTCTCCAGAGGGCGGCGAGTCCAGGCCCGCCTCGTCGTCCTCGTCTTCGTCGTCAGGATCATCCTCTGCACTGGTGAAGCTGAGGGTGCCACTGAGGCGGGAGGACAGGCCCTCGGCGTCGTCGTCCTCCAGCTCTGAGCTCTCAGGGAACTGCTCAGCCTCTGGGCCCGCCGCCGCCGCCTCCCCAGGGCCATCGCTAGCCAGGGCGTGTCGCAGCCGGTGCAGGAGCCGCGAGGCCATGGCACCCAGGGGGGAGCGCGCCACGCTGGGTCCAGTGCTGGAGAGGGAGGGGACCCCGCCCGGAGAGGGGCCCGGGGGCGTGGCAAAGAGGCCACGCCCACGGGCCGCTGCGGCCGGGGACGTGCAGGAGGCCGGCCAGTACCCTGTCCCTCCTGCAGGCCGGGACGCGCCTCCACCCACAGCGCCCCAAGTGCGTTCAGGGCGAGCTCCTGGGATTTGGTGCAGCGGCCCGCGGCTTTAAGAGGCTCTCCGCCCAGGCAGCTCACGGCGCCTCCTCGCTGCTTCCTGCCGCCGCTCCGCCCCGGCCCCGCCCGCTCCCTCTCCCCGAGCAATTAGAATCCCTGGCCGCTGCCTGCGGGAAGGACGTGGAGGGTAGCCGGGCGAGCCAAGGCTTCCCCCGAAACCGTCCCCGATCGTTCTGGCCGCGCCCCCTCTTGGACTGGTCCCACCCTTCCCGGACTCCCGGGGGCAGCCCCAACCTTTACCCCTAATTTCCATACAGTGCTGTGTAACTTTACAGCGTAATTTCGCGGCTCTCCTTTGAGAGAAGCTTGAAATCCGGCCTCGGCCAGCCTAGGTTTTCTCATATGAAACAAGAATACTAATACTCATACTCAATTTTCAGCTCTTGTAAAACCCCAGTCCAGTGCCTGTGTGAGTGATCCTAGGCCATCCCTGATTGGTTTGAACTTCACCTGGGAGGGAGTAGTCAGACAGGAAAACATCCAGAGGTTGCACAGGTTGTCAGATTTCTAGTGTTGAGTTCTTGAGCCGATTTATTTTCCCACGCGTGTGGGGTCGGTTGGGTAATGTCCATAACTCTTTTGGAGAACTGCAGCCTATCTTTTACTGCAGGGTAGCAGTAGTCAGGAAAACGATTGCCGATCCCCGTCCCAAGGCGTTCATGTCAGGCCTAGCAGGGCAGATCGGCTAGTTAACCAATAAAACAAGTTATCTCAAAGGCCAGGTGTGGTGTCACTGTGGCTCATGCCATTAATCCTAGCCCTGGCACTCGGGAGGTCTACGTGTCGAGTTCCAGGACTAAATAGAGACCCTGACTCCAAGTATCTCAGTATCTCCTATCCCCTTTCAGGGCACGAGAGAGGGATGGAGGATATAATCTTGACTGGAAAGACCTCCCTGGCCTTTACTGAACCGAAGGGTCTTGGTTTTTAGGACTCATGGTGTTCTGTTGTATTTCACACACTGTCACATGTCGATCTCAGAGGATGAAGTTACAGTAATGGTTCATTTTTTAATATGAGGAAACTAAGGCTGGAAAGATGGCTTAGTGGTTAAGGGCGTGTACTGTTTTTATAGAGGACCAGAACTCTTCAGCACCCACACTGGTAGTTGTAGACACCAGTAATGTCAGGGGATCCATCGCCCTCTTCTGGCCTCCAAGGGTACCTGCACACATGTACACAAAACCCAAACCCAAACACACACATACACATAATTAAAAATAGAATAAATCTTAGAAATAAGCCAGGTGTAGTGGTGCACACCTTTAATCCCAGCACTCGGAAGGCAAACAGGTGGATCTCTATGAATTCAAGGGCAGCCTGGTCTACATAGTGAGTTCTAGGTCAATCATGGTCATGTAGTGAAACCTGAGAGAAAAGAGATGTTCCCATGTGGCAGAAAGGAGGGGAGCTGGGACTTAAGCTCATTCATTGGTGACTTAGAGCTCTGACTACTCTGCCTTTGCTTACAGGCAGACTGTGAGGACAAAAGAGCCACCACATACTCTTCGACTATTGGCTGATTATTAACTTTTCCTCTGGTATATGTCACACAAGTCTGGGTGCACAGGGTCTGCCAGGCATGACCATGAATACCTGTAATTCCAGCACTTCAGAGGCTATGGCAGAAGGATCGAGAGTTCAAGATCTACCTCAAAACAGAAAGTAAACAAACAGGAAGGAACGAAGGGGGAAAGAGCTGGTGTTCATAGCATTATGGCTAGAAATCTGGTCCGTCTGGTCAGGCAGGATGGCCAGCATGCCTGCAACTGAGGCAGGAGGATTGCAAGTTAGAGGGCAACCTGAACTATGTAGTGAGGCCCTCTTCTGAAAGAAAGAAAGAGAGAAAGAAAGAGACAGAGGGAGAGAGAGAGAGAGAGAGAGAGAGAGAGAGAGAGAGAGAGAGAGAGGAAACATCTTCCCCTATTCCAAAAATAAGTGGCCAGTGAGATGGCTCGGTGGGTTAAGATGCCCTCCAGGAAGCCTGACCACCTGAGTTCAATTCCAAGGATCCAGATGGTGGAGGGAGAGAATCAGCTTCTGCAAGTTGTCCTCTGACTGCCACATGTGCACTGTGGTGTTCCAGTGCACACACACACACTCACATGCTCACACACTCACACACACTCACACACTCACACACTCACACACACACACTCACACAACACTCACACACTCACACACACTCACACACACTCACACACACACTCTCACACACACACGCACACAACACTCACACACTCATACACACTCACACACACTCACACACACACTCTCACACACACTCACACACACGCACACGCACACATGCGCACACACACGCACACACACACACACGGAGCAATCCTAACACTATTAAATCTATCAGTGAAAGTAGTAGACTACTTTTAAAAACTTTTATAATTTTATATTTTGTGTGTGTGTATGAGTGTGTGTGTGTGTATGAGTGTGTGTGAGTGTGTGTGTGGTGTACCCATTCGTATGCATGGAGGTCACATGTTACCTGGAGTTCATTCTTTAGCCAGTGAGCAACAGGGATCTACTAGTCTCAATCCCTGCCCGGTCACAACTCCCATTGCTGGGTTTATGGTCCCGCATGACTAATGAGAATCTTAATCCAAGTCCTGATGCCTGTGTGGCCAGTACTTCACAGAAAAAGCCGTCCCCATCACCTTCTTTTTTCTAAGATGTATCCAAGGCTGGCATCGAGCTAGCTAAAGGTGACCGTGATCTCCTCATTGACTTACCTCCTTCCAGCTACCACACTGGATTGTTTGTTTGCTTGTTTACATTATGTGACTGTGGGCTCACATGTGACACGGTGTAAGTGTGGAGGTCAGAGGACAACTTTTGGAAGCACTTTCTCTCTCTGAACCACATAGCTGGGGTGTAGGGGAGAAGGGATACAAGAGGAAGAGGTTTGAAAGTTGAGGAGGATGGCAGGGAGTGTCTAGCATATGCAAAGTCCTGCTGTTCCTGAAGGGTGGTGTTTGCGGGGCAGTATTTAAGTGGGACCAGAGCAGAGCAGCATGTAAGGTGAGAAGAGAGGTTGGAATGAGAAGAGGAGCAGCTATAATCTTGTTTGGCTGCATGTAGGGCCTTGGTTCTTAGTTGTTTCACCAAATAAACACAGGAACAAATAGGGGAGGGATGCTGCTAAGGCGTGCCTCCCTTTTGCTGCTCAAACAAGCGATCCTAGCATGCAATGTCCGAGCTGGACTCCCCTGAGTGTCACGCCTTGATCCTCTGCCTGGCAGAGGCAGGCCTTATTTAGCCTGGCCTGGCTCCTCTGAGCTTTCTTGGGAATGTCTATATATAGGGGACGAGGGCAGCCCAGTTGCCACTGTCCATCTGCCTTCCTTGGACTCTGGTCCACCAGTCCCTGGCCCTAGACTTAGCTGTCTCCATTTTCTTTCTGTCAACTTAGCCACTGTCCATGAGCCGTGCCTACCTCACTGCTTAGCCTGGGCCCTGTGGGTTCTCAGGGTGTGTTCCCTTTGGACTGTCTGCTTCTACGGAGGATCAGTTGAGCTCTAGGAAGGGGGAGCTGTTCCCTTTCATATGTTCGTAACTTTTTGTGTATTTATGAATATTTCGTGTATAAGCTTACATCCAAACCCAAGGGGTTTCACCCTAGAAATACAAACTGAAATAACTACATTGCTGAGTAAGCGTTTTGCTCACAGAAACGAGGCGTCCAGTAGCTCAGACTGCTTGCCTGCCTCGCACGAAGCTCTGCTTTCAACTCTCAACAGCAAATAAAACCAGCCATGATGATGTGTGTGTAGAACTCCAGTCTCTGGAAGACAGAGGCCGGAGGCTCTGGAGGTTCAAGCTCATCTTCAGCTACATGGTGAGTCTGAGGCTAGCCTGAGTTACATGAGACCCTGTCTTAAAAAAAAATATTAAAAGAACGAAAGATAAAGGAAAACAAAAGAAGTCTGAGCTTCCGATCCTTTAAATGACAGCAATCAGGCCGCTCACACTCCAGAACCTAATTTTATAGCAGCAGGTGGAGTTCTACATATATGATGTCTAGGACAAAAAAGCCCTTGCTGTCTATTATTCAGAGAACCCAGTGTTCTCACCAAAAAGTGAGCTCTAACTGCCTTTCCCCTGGGGGAGCAGACCTGGAGAGAAGAAGCTTTCTCCAGTGCGCATTTCTCCTCACAGTGAGCCTCACTCTCTTCACCCTGAACGATTCCAGGTGAGTCCCTAGGGTCATAATTGTTTCACAACAAAGGTTAAAGGATAAGAATTGCTTAAGGTGAGCCGGGCTGGGGAGATGGCTCAGTGGTTAAGAGCACTGACTGCTCTTCAAGAGGTCCTGAGTTCAATTCCCAGCAACCACATGGTGGCTCACAACCCGATGCCGTCTTCTGGTGTGTCTGAAGACAGCTACAGTGTACTCACATACATAAAAAAATAAATCTTAAAAAAAAATTGCCAAGGCTGCGGCTCAGTGCTTAAGAGCACTTGCTGCTCTTCCAGAAGACCTTGGTTCAATTCCTAGCACCTACATGGTGACTCCCAACTGTGGGATCTGGTGTCTTCTTCCGGGCTCTTTGGGCACTAGGTGACGTACGTGTAGACAAAACACCCGTATACATTAAGAAAATTAAGTTTTTAAAGAATCTCCAAGGCTATGGCATCCGTAAGGCCGAGGCTGCGTTCCCACCCAGCACTATAACCCAGCACGCATACCTATAGTCTCGGTGACTTGGGAGACTAAGGCAAGAGGATCCCTTGAACCCAGGAGTTCGAGGGCAGCCCACTTGACAGGGCAGACTCTTT